GACCAAGAGAGGCCAATATGGTATGTGATAGTGCTGTTATACAGGCAAGTTTCTGAGTTTCTGCTAATTACCTGACTACCCATTTTTTTTTTTTTTTATCCCTGACCATCCTTTTTTTCTCTTATTGTTGAGTTTCAGTTTATTTTGTGTTTGTATTATATAATTATTTACCAATCCACAGATCCTTTACAGAGTTGTATTATATTCAGGTGACCATTAAGGCTCTTGGGCCTCTTGTTTTCACTGCTATCTTTTGAGAAAAAGTTAAATTAAGTGCAATTTATGGTCAAGGTTTATTTGTGTATATGTTTCTTTGATGCGTAACGAGCAGTAACAAGAAAGACCGTAAGATATTGTAATCAACGATTTAATTCTCTTTGATGAGTTTCAGAATATAATTTGTTTGTGACAGATTCTTACTTCAAACGTATGAAATATATGTAATGAAGTTCAGTACCACAGACATACAGCTGGATATGAAACCTCGAGATATATATGTACTTTTTTTTTAGAAACAATAAAACAATACCCCCTCCCTCCCACAGAGAGAGAGAGAGAGAGAGAGAGAGAGAGAGAGAGAGAGAGTATGAATCAGCGAATTCAACCACATGCATCGTAACAGAAGCTCCTATAAGCCAAGCATTCCCATGAACTGAGCTCCTCATAGTTTGGGTTCGGCGATTTTACGCTTTAACTTCACGTGCTGGGATTTATTCATCATTTTGTGGGGAATATGTGCTTTCGGTTAAAAATAAAAACATATAAAAGTTTATCTTACATCGACCTACATATATAAAACTGAAACCAGAAATGTCAGAAATAAAAAATATTAAAATAAAAACAAAGCATATTAGATCAGTAATTATCAGTAGTACTATAAATCAGTAATTATCAGTAGTACTATAGATCAGTAATTATCAGTAGTACTATAGATCAGTAATTATCAGTAGTTCTATAGATCAGTAATTATCAGTAGTACTATAGATCAGTAATTATTAGTAGTGCTATAGATCATGAATTATCAGTATAGTACTATAGATCAGTAATTATCAGTAGTACACTATAGATCAGTAATTATCAGTAGTACTAGATAGATAAGTAATTATCAGTAGTACTATAGATCAGTAATTATCAGTAGAACTATAGATCAGCAATTAACAGTAGTACTATAGATCAGCAATTAACAGTAGTACTATAGATAAGTAATTATCAGTAGTACTATAGATCCGTAATTATCAGTAGTATTGTACATCAGTGATTTTCAGTAGTACTAGATAGATAAGTAATTATCACTAGTACTATAGATCAGTATTTATCAGTAGTACTATAGATCAGTATTTATCAGTAGTACTATAGATCAGTAATTATCAGTAGTATGTATATAAAGTAATAGCTTCCCTAGTATTAATTCTCAGTATGCAATCGTTCATTGCAAATGGTTACTCTCAAATGCAATCATTATCATATTTGATATTGAATTATACTTCGCATAATTTTAATATATATATTTTTAAGCTCTTGGCATCGGAAAAGAAAACACCCATATAAAATTGATGTTGACTGTGTACCAGTCGAGAGGCCTTCCAGACCCGTTGCTTTCGCAAAATATTACGCATTTTCTGGCCTAATACCATCTCAAATGAAGAGCTGTACAAAAGGACTAACACCACTCTTCTATCCCAAATAATAAAGAAAAGAAAATGGCTGTGGATAGGTCATGTATGCAGAATGCACCCAACTTCCATCCCAAGGGTTGCATTGAGATGGATCGACACCAACCGGTAAGAGAAAAAGAGGAAGACCAAAAGAGACCTGGAGAAGATTGGTGGAGAAAGAAATAAAAGAAACAACTGGACATCGGGGCAGGTCCAGAGATGGACACAAGATAGACCAACATGGAAGTCTCTAATGACCAGCACGAAGAGGACTAAGTAGTAGTAAGTGACAGTCAAAATTGCTTTAGAATATAAAATATTCTTGATAAAAGCAAGCATGTAATTAGTTCTTTTAACGATGAAAGATAATTAGTACAAGTAAACTGAGAAATACAAAATGTTTGTTACTTGTTTTTAATTTTTTAAAATGCGTCCGAATGTGAGAGTTGCTTGATTTTTTTTATTTGAACATTTTATTTGAAAGTATCTTTCATGACGTTAAAAGTAAATAACATGAATAAAATATTGACGGTTATATAACGATTTTCTCGCCTGTCTCGTTAAATTAAGTTTTCAATTAGTTATATGATTTATGTACAAGTTTAATTTCATTAGCATAACATGTCATCAATACTTTATAAAGCCTAATCGAAGTGCACTTGAATGTTCGTTTCAGACAACAACTTTCATGGAGGTGTATACAAAAACCAAACATCAACGAACCGATTCTCTAGAAGTACAATTTGTATATAGTATAGTCCACAAAGAGGTAAAACATTTTTAAAAACTAATAATAACATTTGGTGTCCACCAGTATCCAAGTGATGGAACAAAAAGAAGCTAAATTGGAATTTGCGATATCAGATGAGAGATTTGACATCTTGTCACCACAACTTACGTATTTTACAGAAGGAGGAGTAATATTCTAGAAAATAACCCGTACATACTTGTCTTTGAGAAAACCAACTTGTAGATTAGTTCATTTAATAATAATAGGTACGTGGAGACATGATAAACAGAAAAGTTATCTTGCGTTTCATTTTTCACCACTGAATAATATCTGTAGAAATGTACATCAATCTCTATTGAATTCATTCAAACGTTAATAAGTATCACATCACTGCCGGAGGAACGGGAGGGGGGGGGATATATAGAATGCTATAGAAAATAAAGCTTCTTTATAGATATGACCCCTCAATAACTACGTCTGATGACTTTTTTTTGTTTGTCAAGGTTACAATTTTACTGAAAATGCCCCCCCCCCCGGGAAATTACAGTGTAAAAATTGTTGTATGTTTAAAATATATATACACTGTCGATATTGCATTATTTTAATATTTGAAAAGATAAAAAAAAACAAACAATAAATTGTTGTATTTATATTTAAAATTTGAGTTTCGAATTTTATGTATTTCAAATTTTCTAATATTTTATATATTTTTCTACACGCTCTTTGCGCCGGTTTGGCGGAAAATTTCCTTATTTCGGACACATGATTAGCTTGTTTATATACATTCTTGGTTGTTTACATCTTGTGACCGACAGATGTCGGGGGATTTACATAAATATACCCACAACGATGGAATAAATTGCATTAAATGTGTGTCAGACTGATAAATTATTCTATATCTAGGCCTCTGATGTAAGACAGATCAATGAGATGAAGAAATGTTTATCAACTGCTATCAGCACCAAAACTAAAACAGACTTCAAGATCAAAGCCATTCATTTTACAGGATATGTATTTTACTTCAATCAATCTATAAACTACAATTTATTTTTTAAAAGTATTTCAAAAAACTTTAGTTTCTGTTTTGATCCTAGTTTTTTATGTAACGTGCAAACTTCTAAATTATCGAAATATTGCAAGGGGAATTAGTTTAGTTCACATTTGGACGATTGTGATGATTTTGAAAGCTTTCAGACGTTATAATAAGAATTCCTCAAAAGATTAGAAATGCAGTTTGGGGGAAAAGACAACAGAAAAGGCACTAGGAATTGATGACCAGTGTTTATAAGAACCAAGTGTAAAGCATCTCAATCAAGAACGTCGGCCCTGCAGGTGTGGCCAGTTTTTTTTTTTTTTTTTTTTTTTTTTTTTTTTTTTTTTTTTATAATTGGACAGAGCCCTTAATTAAGAAAAACAGAGATTTTTTTCTGAGCCTTTACAGTACTTCCTTATCTCAGTGTACTTGTTAGTACACTTAACCTTTTACAAATTGGAAACAAAAAGAAAATTAATGCACTTTTCTAATTACAAAATCATTCATAATTAAACAAGGTTTTTTTTTTTCTGGGAAATTTATACCCAACAGAATCTCACAATACCACGACTTTTACGTTGACTTTAAAAGAGTTAACTTTGTATACAATTTGACAGGATCATCTTTTTGATAATGTGCTCCATGCTACATGTACCATATAATCATGTGCATAGAGCCGCAGTAACGGGCGAAGACGATGCAATCTGTAAGCTAAAACACAACATCACGACCCTCAATTTTGTTAGAACGACATTTTCCACTGTAATACATTTAAATTATCAGCACACCGATCCCATAACAAAACCGCCTGTAGAAGAAAAAATATTCTTTTGTGCTAATTTTGATCAATTTACGCTGATAAACGGTTGCACGTGTGTCTATTATCATATTTTCCGCCCTGATTTCAGCTGGATAACACAAAGAAGCACTCCGTTAAGTCTATAGCAGTCCGTGTAGCGCTGTGGGATCGAAAGTTCAAGACGGTGGGTTGAGATGGTTTGTTACAAACCAAACCTTTTTTGAAGTTTTCGAAAGGCGTACAATTAATACACGAAAAAAATCCGTCTTTCGGAGATAAGATTTCTTCAAAAGAATTTTTTAAAAAAAAGAATTCTAACATTTTTTAAACCCAATGTGCAAAGTTTATAGAAATTTTGCATATCATTTGGTGTAACAGTTACCTTTTGTATTGTATAAATGGAAGTGCTCATTCTGAGAGTGATATATGGCATACAAGGATGTTTTCTGCTTCTGTGAAACCTCAAATCTCAAACGAAAAAAGGGCTTAAACTTATTAAGTTTAAGCAATTAAACTGCATTTTGGAGACATCTACAAAATTCTAGCTACATGTACACTAGTTTACAAGACAAAAACAATGCGTAAACATTTGAAGTATGTCACATTTTACAGAAATAAATTATGTAGTGAATAGAATTAAAGACAGATTTTATGCCGCACATAGTCGGAGATCATTGACACTTTCCTCACAAAAAACTTTTACCCAGTTTAATGCATGATATCTAAGCAAAATATGAGAATTTTCTTGAGTTCCATTTTATCATCACAAAAAAAACAACAACATTCTGAAATAATTCATTTTAATACTCAAAATAAACACAAATCATAAAAAAATCAGCTATACAACTTTTATGAAGTGTCATTTGAACCCTTTAAAGTTTCTTGCAATCAGCATATCATAAATTTAGTTTCAGAATGTAGAATCTCTTACATTTACGTGAGGTAATCATTCTGGGACTGGTTGCTAACACACGTGTTTCTCGTATAAGTTAATGACTCGTGAGAGACTTATATAATTTCATCTCTTGATAAAGCACAATCTTCTTCACGGGAATTCACAGGTCAATTTTACTGATAGTGTTACAACACAGCTTCCGGATTTCGTCACGGAAACGCCCGTCAAATAGTCCATACAGGAACGGGTTCATGGCATGGTTTACAACCCGCATGGCACGCATGAACTGAAACAGCTGTTGTAGGAAACCATAAGGGTTACGGAACCATGCTTCAGGGTCGTTCACGCAAAGTATCACATAGACTATTGTAGGAATATTAGACACAACATTAGTCAAAGATATAGTCATAAACATGAACGTTAGTCGTCGAGTAGACAGTTTAATTTTGGATCCTGAAGACCGTTTTAATTTTGGCACGTCAGTCGGAACTTGAAGACTATTATAATTTGGTAGTTTCACTTCCTTGTCTTTTTCGCGGTTGCCATTAATTTCCTGTCGTTTCGTTGGAGGGGATTCACTTTGATCTTTGTCCTCACCCGGAACCGGAACATCCGATGCCTCAGACCGCGAAAAACTTCTACAGTGATTCAACTTCCGGACTCTAGTTTGTCTTATGAGATGTTTAAGTATATAGAGGTATATGATCACTATAACAGCAATGCTTATAACAGATACAGACATAGCGGCCGCAGTAAAACTGATCAGTCCAGTGGCCATGCTTTCTGGTTGTCGTATTGGACCACAGATGTACCCAGTCACATTGTACTTGGCACTCTTTACTGGAACTCTGCCGTAAAATATTAGTTCCGGTATAAGAATAATGGTAGTCACTAACGAAATGGTAACTAATGAAAATCTTTTCCAATACAGGGTCATTTGTTTTTGGAATGGTCGACAGATTTTCAGAAAACGTTGTATGGAAATCACTACTAACAGAAATATTGAGCTTTGTGTTGCTAGGTAATTTACATAGAGTAGACATTTGCATAGTACATCATCCGGAAACATGACCGGGAAGATGTTCACTTTTAGAGCGAACCAGGTGGAGAAAGCACAAGCCAACATGTCCACCACAGCTAGAATAGGAATGAAGTAGCGATCGTCCTTGTATCCTTTCATCTTGAAGTTGTATATGAAAATAATGAAAAGGTTTCCAAACGTGCCAACTGTAAATAAAACGGAATGGACCACGGTACTTAGCGTAAATGATCGTGATATTTCGTGATTCCATTGTCGTAGGAGTTTTTCCGTATCAACGGATGTCGTTAAATTTTGCATCGTCAACGTCATCTGAAATTATAAAGATTTAAAATAAGAAAAATTGAGAGGCTTAATTTCTTTAGGTATGGTTAATAAAGCAGCTCACATGCTTCTACACAGACATTTAATGCCTATTTAATGGCAAACATCCTCTTTTATCAAGTAGGAGCTCACAATGGATGTCAAGGTATTTATATTTTACTGTATCGAACTTAAAGTCAGTAGAGTAAAATATTTAGCCACAGCTTGTTTTTAAAGGATGTGCCCTAATTAGCCCTGCACGCCAAGGTTAGACAGAACTGTTTACAAATCTTTAATTAGTGACGGCATTTTTGATTTTCAATTGAACAAAGGTTATTGATGAAATGCTAGATATGATAGTTAAACCTTTAGACGCACAAATTTGTTTACAAATTTGAATTAATGACGGTTTTCAATTTTCAACTGAACAAAAGTTATTGTTGAAACGCTAGATATGATACATCAACAAACAGGAAGTTTATACAGAATTGTTTACAAATATTTAATTAATGACGGCATTTTCAATTTTTCAATCGAACAAAGGATATTGATGAAACGCTAGATATGATAGTTAAACAAACAGGAAGTTTCCATTGAACCGTCCGACTCTTTTACGTGGCTTTGGAGTGACGTTCTTTCACTTTTATTGGAAATATCTTTTCAAATTAAATATATCTTTTTGAAGTGTTTAAATCTGCAACACTGATCTTTTTTAAAAAAGGGAAAGAAATTTTTCTATTTTTGTTTTTTCTGTTGATGTGGTATATTTGATTTTAGAAAATTAAGCACCATGAAAATGTCTGACGATATAGGAATTTTTGTTTTCAAAAATAATGCATTTGTTCAACAGTAATAAAACTACAATGTTTGTCGATTCTGCATTTGCAATCATATATCCATTTCCGAATTTAGCTCTGTTAAGCAGAATCAAATCGAATTAATGCCTTCATGTAATGGATTTCGCATTTTATAGCTCGTTATACACAAGAGATAAATGGTGTACTTAATTCACTCATCTTGTTCGCCAGCACAGGAGAGCAATAATTTTTATAAATCTCCGTATTAATTTGTTATTATTATTTATTTTGCAATAGGAGGGAAAACTGCAGCCCATAGATGCAAATGCCTTTGCTAAGTTGTCAAAGTATTTGTCAAAAGCATTGGTTTTCTTCTGCGCCAGCGCGATCAAAAAATATTCGTGCGTACCTTATGAAAAATGCATCGAACGCCAAAAGGCACAGACAATAATTATCACTTGATATTTACATGTTTACAAATACATATACATATATATAATTTCTCGATTACCTTAGCAAGCCCAATAAAAGAAAAATTATGCAAACCCAGATCTTCAAAGATTACAAACGCAGAGAGAGAGAGAGAGGGAGAGAGAGGTAAGTTTTTGATAAATAAAGAGAATTGAAGAAATGTGTGATTTTTTAATATGCATGGGAAAAGACGCAAAAGTAACTTTTGAACTCTTTCTAAAATATAAGGCTTAAAGTTAAACCAAAGTGACAAAATGCATATGTATATACATATATGTAAATGAATTCTTAAACTTTGGATTTTATGTTTAGATTTAAGATTAATTAATTTAACTCTAAGATAAAATTGAATTTGATTAACTTTTGAAATTACAAGTTTTTTAAGTGTCTTTGAATCCTTGTGTTCAATCCATTGCATACCAAGTAAGGAAATTGGAATTGACTAGCTTATATATATATATATATATACACACACACACACACCCACACCCTCACACACAATGTACTTGGATGTGCTTGATTCAATGTTCTTGAAGTATACGGTAAACCAATCTTATTGGTGTGCTTTTTATTTTCACACAACACAATGCGCTTAGGGAAACTTTGAACAACAAAAATGTTATAAAAAGTTTACCGAACACATATACAGTAATAAGAAACGACTCTCTCTCTCTTTCTCCCTCTCTCTTTCTCTCTCAGCCTCTACATGATGGAATAGTATACACAAGGAAATTTATAATTAAATATTGTTTCTCTCCCAACAATTTTGATATACACATTGTATTATTATATAATAAAATCATGAAGGGAAGATTATAATGACACAAAAACCTAAATACAAGTAACATATCCGTGTAACACAGGTGTGGTTTTTTTTTAATTGAATTAATTTTGTTGCACTTTAAGGCAAGGAAATATATTCTCAACAGATAAATCTTAAAACAGCTGATTACGCTGACAGGTATAATTCAGTGTTATCTATATCTTCCCTGCCTTCACGAAAGAATTATTTATAAACTCCACTGGCTAATTTTGCTCACTTGAACGTTAACCGATGTGACACAACGTTAAATGATGAACATTGTGTTGGGGTTTGATGGTTATCATTCCACCCACTGAATAGATTAGGAGAACATACATTACGATTAACGAGATGAGTTTAGTTTCACGGTTTTTAATGCATTGGTTCGAATGCTATAATATAACATCCTTCTCTCCCCCCCCCCCCTTCTCCACATTGATTTAAGCCTGCTACCCAAGTTCCTCTCCAAATTTACTCAATGACGTATCACACATTGGAATAATAGTTATAGTCATATAAATATACAAGAATATCAATAAATCTTCCCTTTCTTGATTGAAAAAAAAGACTTGTAAAAGATTGTCTTTTTCATATTTTGAAGGTTTTTTTCTCCCACAAATTAAGATTTTGATGGAATTACTGCATTATGTTTGCCCTTTTGCTAGGTTAGTCAAACACACTTTAGCATAAATAATGCTGCTTTTAATCTCGCGGTGCAATTTTTAGAGGAATGACGTTAATCAAAGAAATATAGCTATAACTATATGATTTAATCCTACTCTCTAACAGCTTTACGATATAATGGCAATGCTTTACAAAAATAACATGTCATATATCTCGGCGGCGGTGAGTAATTCTAAAGGTGCGCCAGTTGGTATTGGATGAAGATTTAATTGTACGAGAGGAAACGCGAAATCATGGACATCAAATCAGAAATCTTATTAGAGGGATAATATAGTTCTATTTCGGACCATTTAATTATTCTAGCTTATATTTTTATCTTTCAAACTACGGACAGAATTGGGGTGAATGAATCCGTATCGTTAATTGGGGTTTTATACATTTTTGTATTGCCATGCAAGGTTAAAGCCCTTTGAAAATGAGGGGAAAAGTTTTTAAAAGATTAAAAAAGATTTTCTTTTTTAAAGTTTGGAGAAAGAATTAAATGCCTTAAGATACAACAAACTTACCGGGATCTGTTACATACATAAAGCTATTTCTTTCATCGATTCACCACATCCTTTATAACCACATCCTAGAAAGTAATCCTTGTAGAAAAAATTATTTCTGACCAAGAAATTGCAGACATTGATAACAAAAATTGCTGCTTTTTCTTTTTAATCCCTTAGCGTCAATTTCACAAACCCACGTGGTTAACTTTTCCTCGCTTCGCTAGGAATGACACCGGAGGTCCATTCATCCATACTATAGGTTCATTTTTGGTTGGTCGATATTTATACACTTAGCTGAGACTTTGGTTCGCGCACCGAAACAATCTTGTCAATTAACACTCATACATACACATATTTGTATTTATTAACCAATATTTACATAACTTTTTTGCCGCTGGGACAACATGACTGTTTCGCGATTCTTTGGTGAAATACACGTTTTTGTTTTTTGCTTTTATTTTATGATTGGAAAGTTTTAAAAATATATATTAAAATCTGGCAATCGCCTGAATTATTTTTACTGAGAGCAAAAGTCTAATAAAGCTGCAGAGCTGCAACTCTCCGGAGAATTTTAGGCGTACAGACAGAATTTTTCAGGGTACTGTATTGAGGTTTTACATATGGAACATCTTACAGGACGTAGTTATCTAATCTCAAGCATATCAGATGTTGACGTGTCAAATAAAAACATCATACTAACACGCACAATTTGAAAAGTTGAGAAGAGTTTGAGGGATTTTGTAATGAATATCAAGGAGATCTGTTTAAATTTGACAGGAGTAAACCATATATTTTCCACAACTCGGGTAAATGGTTCTCATACTCAGGTTTAAAAGTCAAAAGGATTATTTCGAAGTTAAAAAATAAAATATGAAAATTGTTTTATTTTATTGGGTCATCTGAGTCATTCAGTTGACCTGTTGCTATCTGTACGTTTTTGTCCGTTGTCGATAATCTAATGCGTCGGTCATAAACTTTTGAACGTTTACTGTTTCTTTTCTGGAACCATTGAACCAAAATCAATCAAGTATATGGCATTAGATAAAGGGAAACATCAATTGTGAATTGCATGATCTCTGCCTCCCTCGAGTCTGAGGGGTTGGGTGAAATCTGTCAAAATTCATGCGATCTACATCATTACTCCTAGACATAAAGCAGTCACACTGTTTGGATGATTATTATAAGCATTGAACCCTCTACCAACATTGTGAAATTCATGATCCTAGGTTCAAGGTTCAGGTTTATGGAGGGGATAATTTGGTCATGTATTAATAATGCATTATATCTGATAAAATCTTCATTCATGGACATCCGACAGGCAAACTGTTTGCATGATTATAATGATTTCTCAACCTTTTACCCAAATTATGGAATTCATACCCTCTGGGTCCATGTTTCAGGTACTAGTAGGCTAGGGATTTATCATTGATTGGTCAGATATTGAAAAACATAAATTCTTTGACCCCCCTCCCCCCCAAAAAAGGAAGCATCTGTATAATAAATGTACCCTTTTCCAAAATTATAAAATTCTTGTCAGGGAGGGGGGATCAGTATTCAGACATTGCTCATTTCAACAATAACCTTGAACTATTTCAGGTTAATAGGAATACAATGTATAAAAGTGTAGGACTACTATAACATGTTATCATTTATAAATTTGCCCACAAAATTAAGAATTTCCTTGTCTTCAGTATTGAGTAACTAAAAAAGTTTCTGTTCATTATCTAAAGCTGAAAAATTTAGAAGTTGGTCATATATTGAATATACATAATGCATTTGAAAATCTTCTTTACTTGTTTATATCTAGCAGGCAATTAATGTATGAAAGTTTATAATAAACATACATTTACCTCTGTACCAAAATTTTGAAATTGCCTTCTCCGGTTCATGGTTATGACCCCAGGGTAGGGTTAAGATGTTCATATATTGAAAAATACATTAAACTAATTACACCTTCATTTGTCCACCGTTCAGACTCCAGGGTGGGACTTAGTTCGTCATTCATTGAAAATACATTACATATTTGAAATTCTTAATATTTACATGATTATTTGCATGGTTATAATTATTATTTTAAGCGTAAAATTCATGGTATCCATGCAAATGGTTCAGGGCTCAGGGAGGGACTGAGTTGTACATATATTAAAGTAAATTACATTTTTGAAAGTCTTTATTACTTATGGACATATAGCAAATAGCCCTCTTCAGAATTTATGAAATTCGTGTCACCCGGGACAGGCATCAGACCCCAGGGTGGGGCTAAGTTGGTCATTATATCTTATTCTTTACTTCTGAACTTCCAGAAAATAAGCTGCTTGAAAATGATAATTATGACCGAGTCCTCAACAAGCTGTAAAATTTTTGTCACATTAAGTTCAGACCAGTTCCTGGTGGGGCCGAAGTGGTCATGGCCTGATAAATCAATGATTTTCTGGTGACTGTCAAGGCCCATAGGCTCCTGTTGATAGTTGACAATGGTGCGAGATTGTCATTTTTTGCAAAGAAAATCCCCCCCCCCCCCAATTTCTTCACGGAATTGACTTTGATAGCGGTCTGTTTAAATTCGACGGCAAAAGTGTATGGATAATACAGTTTTTAAAAACCTACTGTCCACACTTTTTAAATATAGGTTTCCAAAATTTCCTTGTCTCTGTTGAACAAACAGAGTCAATGTTTGAAAGCCAGCTGTTTTATAAACTTCTTTCCTGAATACCCTTAGTAGATTTCTTGCTTTTTTGTGTTTTATCTTTAAGCTCGATTTTTTTACGTTTTTTTCCCTTCGGATTCACAGTCTTCTAATTACGTTGTACTTGCAGCTCCGTCCCACTCATCATATTAAAACCACGTAAAAAATGATGTCACAAGTATACCAAAGCAAAGAGAATCAACCATTATGTAGTAATTAGTGTAGATCTCTGCATACTTGGCATTCATGGAGATACCTTCTTCCGTAATAACCCCCAGAAACCAGAATATTAACCCTTTTTATAATAATTTATCTTTATTTGTTTTTTAGCAATGAATGCATGCTTGGCATTCATCTGAAAATCAGAATATTAACCTTTTTTATTACCTCACCTGAGCCAAAGGCTCAAGTGAGCTTTTCTGATCAAAATTTGTCCGTTGTCTGTCGTCGTTGTTGTTGGCGTTGTCGTTGTTGTTGTAAACTTTTCACATTTTCATCTTCTTCTCAAGAACCACTGGGCAAAAATTCAACCAAACTTGCCATAAAGCATCCTGGGTAAAGGGGATTCAAGTTTGTTCAAATGAAGGGCCACGCCCTCTTTCAAGGGGAGATAATTAGGAATTAGTGAAAAAATAATGGCATCATTTAAAAATCTTCTTCTCAAGAACCACTGGGCCAGGAAAGATGAAACTTATGTGGAAACATCCTCAGGTAGTGTAGATTCAAGTTTGTTCAAATCATGACCCCCGGGGGTAGGGTGGGGCCACAATGGGGGATCCAAGTTTTACATAGAAATATATAGGAAAATATCTTTAAAAATCTTCTTCTTAAGAACAACAAAGCCATGATTGGTCATATTTTTATGGAAGCATCCTCAGGTAGTGTAGATTCAAATTTGTTCAAATAATAACCCCCGGGGATAGGGTGGGGCCACAATTGGGGATCAAAGTTTTACATAGAAATATATAGGAAAATATCGTTAAAAATCTTCTTAAGAACAGTAAAGCCATGATTGGTCATATTTATATGGAAGCATCCCCAGATAGTGAAGATTCAAGTTTGTTCAAATCATTACCCCGGGGATAGGTTGGGGCCACAATGGGTGATCAAAGTTTACAGAGGAATATATAGGAAAAAGTCTTTTTCTCAAGAACAGAAAAGCCATGATTAGTCAAATTGATATGGAGGCATCTTTTGGTAGTGTAGAATGAAATTTGTTCAAATGAGGGCCCCCGGGGGTAGGGTGGGGCCACAATGGGGGATCAAATTTTTACAAATGAATATATGGGAAAAAAATCTGCTGCTCAAGAACAACAAAGCCATTTGTTATATTGATATGAAAGCATCATCAGGTAGTTTAAAATTCAACACCCCCCTCCCTGTAAACTTTTCAATACTGTACTGATTTTTGCTTTTTTTCCTAGCCAATGTGCTCAGGTGAGCGATGTGGCCCATGGGCCTCTTGTGATAATTCATCTCGTTGGGATTTTTTTATGTACACATATTCACTTGGAATAAAAAAGATTTTAATATGTAAAGACACCTGATTGATTTCATATTTCAGAAACTTTAAAAAGAGCTGATCTAGAATATTTACATGTATCACACAAGTCAAAATCCCTTTTCAGCGAAATATTTTTTATTCGTATTTTGCAAATAAAAGAAAAAGCAATTCTAAAGACATTTTGAATACCCGAGAAGATTGAGATTGTTTCGAATATGGACATCATCAGAATTTTGGGTTTTACTTAAAGTAAGTTCTCAGTACTAGTATTGAGAAAACTTAAAAAATAAAACTAATTTTATCTCTATTAAATAAACGATTGACTACTTATTGCAATTGTTTTATATCAATCTTTTGTAGAGAACACTGTAATGAAACAGGAGGAAAACATGACTGAGGGGGTGAAGTCATCAACCATTTCCCCCCTCTGAGAACAAATTATTTTCATCTTAGGATCATGCATGTGTTAAACTATATACTTTACAAGGATTTTAAGGGTTTTCCTGATTCGGAAGAGATAAGTTAACTATTCTCGTTCTCTTTTTCTCTCTCTCTCCTGTGTATGTGTGTGTGGTGTGTGTGTTACAGGATACAACTGCAACTTTCAGGCAAATGAATGATCACTGAAAGGTTTGCAAAGGTAACTGAATGGAGGAGCTCTGCCATTCAGTCACATTTTAGTTAACTGAATGACAGAGATTCATCGTGTGTGCATATGTGACGAAAGTGCAATTTATGCAATGACTAATATAATTTCCTTTTAAATGTTGTATTCACTAATGCTTCATTAAATATTTTTAGTAGGACATTTTATATGATTTAAAGATAAAACGCATCAATAATTGAACATTTTCTAAAAGCACTGTATGAACGTGCACGGGATTTCAGTATTATCTTTTACACGTCTAAATCTTTCTAGAACGGTGCATGCATCAAGAGATTGGGTATCAAACCAAAAAAGTGTATTTTTGTTGGCATGAATTGGTTCACATTCCTCCATCGTACATGACTTCCCACGTTGTTCATACCACTACAATTTCATATAAAAAAATAATATG